CACTTGTAGGAACGAAGATATACCACCACTCTTGAAATCAGAAGCTCAACCAGGTATCTGCTCAACTTACTGTTAGCACTTAATATAGCCAGGGTTACAGATAAGGTTTCTAAAGGCAAGGTGTCAATGAGACATTGCAACAGGCCAATAAATATGGACCTCACTACATTGTAAGTCCTCAGAAGTTTAATTTATATTGGTCAGGTACCCCTCTCTTCAGTCGGGGCTCGAACAAGTCCCGCCGGCCTGGTTTTGCAAATCTTTGTTGAAGCACTTGAAGAGTTTCCAAATCATTTTATCCAATCAAAAACTAGCGCAAGCACTCACCCACAAGTACCCCAAAAGCAATTGCATGAGCAAATGTTGTTGCATAGCAACTTTAGGAAAGAAAACCTGCAGGCTCAGTCCTGTCTCTGTGGTGGGATGTCGTCATTAACTGTGGTACGTTTCCCCTGACTGTCTTATCTGGAACACTGCTTAACTGCTAGGATTCTTCAGACTGTGAATAGCCTTTTGGCTTTACATACAATGGATTGTCTTGAACTACACATATACAGTGTGTAAGTGAAAAAAAGAAGAGAACAATTAATGACCTCACAAAAATTGGGTGCATGGACTATAAAGAAAGTCATGGTAAATGGATTCTGCATTGCTTCATAATGCAACAATTTTATTGACTCTTTCCTGGAGATTGTCAACACTAGAGATAATCCTTAAAGTAATCAACAAGGATTTGGCTTCTTGCCCGAGACAAATTATTATTCATCTTGGGTTCACTTGTAGCCGCAGCTTTTACATGTATATAATAGTGTCACTCACTTATTTTGTTTACTTCACTTCTGTTTTGTAGTTATTTTGGAAGAGCACCACACGAAACCTCCTGAGAAAACAAAACGTAAGGGACACAAGATATTTTGTTTTAATACTGTATCATCACAGGTCGCCCAAGCTAAAGATAAGAGAACAGTGTCACGGTATAAGCGGTATTGTGTTACAACGGCTCGATTTATAAGGGTTTGTATGGGAACGCAACGGTTATGTTTTAGAAGATATAACATCGAATGTTTTGTGAATAAAAACGACTTACGCTGTTGCTGTGTTGTATTCTTTGTAGTTTGCCAGCTTCTCAGGCCAGTTTGAGGCGATTTAGGCGAGTTTTAGTTTTCGAGGTTTTCCATTAATATAAATAGGGAAGGTCGGAAAGAAGATTTCAAATCCAATCACTCGAAGATCGATAAATTCCGTTAAAATGCTCAAATCGCCTCAAAACTTCCACCAGTGTAATCTCCGATAGCAAATGTTCCCTCTGGTTGTATTTTCGGCTTCCAAATGCCGTTCTAACTGCAGATAAACTTTCGTCAGTTCGACACTCGCGTTTCCTGATACCGTTGGACGTTTGAACCACACACAAAATGGCGTCATGTCGACAAAATCACCCTACGCCGGGAGGGGCATGGCTGTATTGTCATTCATGCAAAATGACACTGGGTGGTCCGGAGAGGTCGATTGTCACTTGAAATCGAAAACCAGCTCGTGAAAATTTCCCGCCTAAACGTCGACCGCCAACCGTCACATTCCAGCGAGGAATCGATCGATCCGTCCGTCTGAAAGCAGATATTTCAGGGCGAACGGATTAAAAAGCAATTTCTACGCTGTTGAGTATCTCCAAGATTTAGATATTTTTCTTCTCTGCTTGCTATTTTCAAAAACATTCATTTAGTCCGATAAAATATCTGCTTTCAGACGGACGGATCGATCGATTCCTCGCTGGAATGTGACGGTTGGCGGTCGACGTTTAGGCGGGAAATTTCACGAGCTGGTTTCGGATTTCAAGTGACAATCCACCTCCAGGCCACCCAGTGTCATTTTGCATGAATGACAATACAGCCATGCTCCTCCCCGGCGTAGGGTGATTTTGTCGACATGACGCCATTTTGTGTGTGGTTCAAACGTCCAACGGGTATCAGGAAACGCGAGTGTCGAACTGACGAAAGTTTATCTGCAGTTAGAACGGCATTTGGAAGCCGAAAATACAACCAGAGGGAACATTCGCTATCGGAGATTACACTGGTGGAAGTTTTGAGGCGATTTGAGCATTTTAATGGAATTTATCGATCTTCGAGTGATTGGATTTGAAATCTTCTTTCCGACCTTCCCTATTTATATTAATGGAAAACCTCGAAAACTAAAACTCGCCTCAATCGCCTCAAACCGGCCTGAGAAGCTGGCAAACTACAAAGAATACAACACAGCAACAGGGTTAGTCGTTTTTATTCACAAAACATTCGATGTTATATCTTCTAAAACATAACTGTTGCGTTCCCATACAAACCCTTATAAATCGAGCCGTTGTAACACAATACCGCTTATACCGTGACACTGTTCTCTTATCTTTAGCTTGGGCGACCTGTGGTATCATTTAAGGTTTTGATTGGTTCATGGTTTGCTTCCCTGCAGGCCACAGGTCTTTAACATGATCTGTAGAATGTTTCATAAATATCTGTTGACGAAGGTTTAGAGTTTGCCAGTAAAAGTGACTATCCCAGTTCTAAGGCGACTTTTGAGTTACTGCTTGGCATTTGCCAACGAAAGCTGTACTGCCAGGAGCAAGTTAATATTAACAAGTTTTATTTATGCATGTTATAATCAATGTGTAGAGTTGCATGTAGGTGAATTTAGGCTTCAGCGCTTGGTGCAGGTCAGGAAAAAGTCAGGGAAGACTAGAAGAAAAGAAAGAAAACCTCTAGGACCAGGGTATTTCTGCAGGACAAACCTTTGAAGTTCTTAACTGGCACGAGGGAGTTAAAATCATGCCTGGTCTTCTCAAGTTTACTTAATGCCTAATTTGTATTATGTGTTCTTCTTGTTAGGAAATCGAAGGCAGCGTAATCATGACAAACATGAGCGCGACTCAGGAGGAAGGGGTGGTTCAAGCGGAGCTGGGGGATCTGAAAGTCGTCAAACCTGTTAAGAAGAAAGCAAAAACCAATAGAAAGTGAGTGTCAACAAATACATGTAATGTGTGGTTCCAGAAAATTCCAAATTCTATACCCCTCCCCCCCCCCCCCCCCCCCCCCCCCTCGTGGAAGGTTTTTGGTTTGAACCCCACCCACTCACCAGGAATTTCCACTCTAGCTTCATACTTTCCTTTAAAAATTAACATAACCTTCCTTGGGGTGGGTTATGGATATTTTCTGGAACCGCACTATGTCTTAAATTGTGAAATGAATGAATGATCATTGCAGTTGTGAATGCAATTTGAGCAATAAATTGCAATTCTTAAGCCAGTTGAAATGTTTTCTTGTAAACCCAATTATTTCTACAGCGGACCCCTGCTTTACCAACAGAGACCTTCTACATTTAAATACAGTAAACACCCGCATATAAGAACCTAGATTTTTCCAAGTTAGCCTCAATAGGTTCTTATATAAATGGTGCTTACTGAAAAATTAGGCTCAAAAGGTTCTTAAATAGGTTCTTGTTTCTACTTTTAATGTATACAAGCTTATACATGCAATTTTTTGCTAATTAATACCCATGATGGGCTACACTTGTATCCTTGTTTGATTAATTTTTTACATTTGCAGATACAGTATATAAAGTTATAGGGTGCTGGCACATTCGTCGATATTGTTGAGCTCATCTTTTTTATTTTTACTGTGTTTCTTTTCAAGTCTTCATCCGCATGGAAAATTAAGAACCCTACTTTAAAATCTTAGCGCCCTAAAACAGGTTCTTATGTAAAGGGTCTAAATGGGAAATTTTAGCCTAAACAGGTTCTTAAAATCTAGGTTCTTATACGCGGGTGTTTATGGACACCTCATTATTGTGGACGGTGGTTTTTGGTCCCTAGCTTATTAGACTGCTTGCCGTCTGTTTCTCTCTCTTAATCACGAAAGGGAGTAGGGCAAGGGTTTGGGACAAGACAAGGGTGCTTGCCCCAATCCCTTCTCATCCATACCGCTATTTTTGTGCTCTTGCTCACGAGGATAAAACACTTGAGAAAAGGGGGACTTCTACCAGCTAAATCATAATATTCATAATATTCATTTCATAATCATGTACACTTACATGTAATATGGACACATTGTGGTCACTACAGTCCATAGAAACAAGCTTTGACTATACAGTTTAACAGTCTCATTGCATCCCAGATAGCCTGTGATTAAACAGATGTCTTTCTTCACCTGCTCAATTTTGTACCCCATGAGAGAGATATCTCATATTCAACGCGAAAAATTTTAAGATTGGAAGTTTATGTAATAACCATGTCATGGTAAACTCAATTGATAGAAAATGTTACACCAGACTACAGGAATACATGTAGATGGGGGAACCTTCAACTTTAATTACAAAATTATATAATTAAAATTGTGGACAGGGGGGTGGGGACCCAGCGGGAAAAGAGAGAGTGGGAAGTGGGCCTGGGGGGGGGGGGGGGGGGGGGGGGGGGGGGGGACTCCCATATAAAAGTGACGGGGGTGATTGTCAAAAATTTTGAAAGGAACCCCTAAAAGGTTGTGGGTGTGGCTCAAATTCTTTTTCACCCATATAAGGTACTAATTCTAAAGCAAAACTAGTTTATATCCTATTTAGATTTTAATACCCTGAGCAGTACCAAACACAATTAATTTTAACCCCTAAAAGGTACGACAACCACCCCCCGTCATATGGGAGTCCCCCCAAACTGGGAGTAAGATGTATGGGAAGTGGGAGGTTCAGACCCCTCCCCTCCCCCCCCCCCCCCCCCCCCCCCCCCCCCCCCCCCACTTCTCGCCTACTTAAGGCTTCATTCAAATTTAACGTTTAGTAATTAACAAGTGCTTTATTAATTTAATTTCTCGAATTTAGGGCAAATCCAAGAATCAAGACTCACCTACACCTGAGTTCCCAATTGACCCTAATGAGCCGACCTACTGTTTGTGTAATCAGGTATGACATCTGTCACATTTAATGTATAGTTGGTAATTTATACATGTGCGTACAACACTTGTTGTGGAGACACCATGGCCTAATGGTTAGTGCGTTGGACTCCGGATTGAGTGGCCCGGGTTTGAGCCTGGGTTATTGTGTTGTGTTCTTGGGCAAGACACTTAACTCTCCCAGTACATGTACCTCTCTCCACCCTGGAGTATCAATGGATACCGGAACTGTTAGGTCAATGTGACAAAATGCTGAGGGCTAACCTGGCATTTGACTAGCATCCCACCCAGGGGGAGTAACAATATTCCTAGTAAGTCGGCTTCTGACATGGTATAAGCTCACAGGATAAGCTCCAGCATTGTGGGCCAGTTTGGCCCAAGTGCGGTCTTATCTAATCTTATAGTCTAACAATTATTGTTACCATATCACAACAAATATTTTAGCTAACTTTGTCCTGGTACTTTACAGGTTTCATTTGGAGAAATGATTGGATTGTGACAATGAAGAGGTTTGTTAAACGCTGACCCTAGCCCTGTCTATAGCCTGTTATCAAGTTCATCATTTTGTAAATTTGCCTCAATCTTCCACATTCTTATTCATTTTTTGTTCCTTTAGCTTTGCTATTGCCTTTGGTGTTTTCTACATGTACCTCTCCATACAACCACCTTGTTATGGGCACGAGTACTCACTGGGCATTGTTATATCTATTTGTGATTACAACCAAAGGCCATTCAAAATAAACAATGAAACATCAATAATAGGAAAACAATAATCTACCTCATACATACTAATGAGCTTTGCTGTACACGCGTTTTCGATGCGCGTTTTAAAACGCCAACGCGTTTTACGTGTCAATTTTTTGGTTGCATTTCTCTGAGCGTACTGTACGACCACTTTCTTTTGACCCAGACACAGAAGCTTGTTGAATCCCTTAATACAGCCACTCTGTTTATACAACCAGATTTTGATGGCCCATTGGTGGCCGGATTAGCAGGGACTATTCTTTGACTATAGTGTCTATAGTATATTTGTATTTCAAGTAATCTTTGTTGTATTGTTTATTCCACAGTGCCCCATAGAATGGTTTCACTTCAGTGTGTAGGACTCACTACAAAACCAAAGGGCAAATGGTACGTTTAACGATAAATAACAAAATAATAATCAGCATCATAATAATGTAAAAGCTACAATCATCATCAATCATTGTCTTTCCTCTCTCTTCTCGTGGAGAATAGGTTCTTTGACCCTCCTCCTCCAAGGTGATCTGTCTCTCTCTCTCTGGCAAAAGCTACTAACAATACAATGTACATTGTACATATAAGCCTCTCCTTTCTACATGTATAACTACTAGTTTTTTAGTAAGCCCTCCATCTCTATCATTCACTGTAGCCATACCGTATCTCAAATGACTATAAATTCGCTAAAGGTTAAAAATGCCAAACTTTTTCGACTAAAGAGACACAATGAAGACTTTTAATTAGAAATTTTTATACATAAAAAAATAGCTTATTTTTAGCTTTTTTTACTACATTGGGTCTAGACAAACATTTAAAAGATTAAGATAAAATAAACGCTAGGGTTGTAAGTGTGGACGTGGGTGATTCGAAGCAACGGCCGAGACATTTTTTCTACTTTTTTTATCGAAGTAAGACCACCGCGATGGTACTTTCATAAAAACACGGAAAAAAGGTAGAAAAAAGTATCTGTCGTTGCTTCGAATCACGGCTGTGATTGGCTAGTTCTGAAAAAGTAGAAAATAAGTTTAAAAAAAGTAAAAATAAAGCCATAGCGTTCATGGTTCAAGTGTCTGCTCTGTAAAGTACAATGTATGAGTATCATATTGATGTACCAATAGTCATTGATCATGTTGATCGACACAAACCAAACCATTGCAAACTAATATTATTTAACCATAGTCAATAGAGGGAAATGGTTATAAAGGCCGGCAAACCTCAAAAAAACTAACACAGATACCAAGATTTATGCTGGAAGGTCCACGACCATGCACAATCTTTTGTTTTGTGCTCACACTTCATGATTGAATTACGTAACCGAAACGTTTCTATTGGTTAGTTTAAACTCGGGAAGAACTCAAAACCTATTGTGTTTTGTGCACGGTCAAGGCCAAAAAAGCGAACAAAAACTTGAAACAAGATTTTTGTTGGGCCTCATAACTATTTCCCTTTATCAACTTTGATTTAACTAATATTCTTAAAAGTATTTGCAGTCTAACCCCTACCCAGCCCCCTTCCTCGTCTTCTTTCACTTGCCCCAACTCTCCGCGTTTTGCGAATCCAAGATGCATTGCAAGCTATGTATGAATGGTTTACAACACTAACAGCACCGTTTTCTCCTCAGGTACTGCCCCAAGTGCACAAACGAACGAAAAAGGGAGCGAAGCTGTCTCAGATGATCTTCTCATTCGTCTTCTTTGTGAATACTATTATATAGAATTTGAATGTTTTATCGGATCACGAAGGAAAATATCAGATAATACCGTAAAATTCCGATCAATGAAACATGTTTTCTTTTTCATCGGAAGGTTTATCATCATAGAACTATGAAAGCCGAGAAATCAATAGTCCAAATGCTGCAAAGTGGTATGTGTCGGGGAACAAGTACTGGTTTTGGAAAATCTTCGTTGAAGCACTCGAAGAGTTCCTTTTCTTATTATCCAATCAAAAACTAGCGCGAGCGCTTACGAGTACTCCGAAAGCAATCGCGCCAGCGTAGCGCAATCAGGACGTCATGTTGCTTAGGCAACTTCCAGACGAAAACCGCGGCTCAGCCCCGTCTCGGAGGCGGGATTTCGCCATCATCTGGTACTTGTTCCCCCGCGGCTGTATTTAGAACCTCGAAGAAGACATGTTTCTCACTCTTTTTTAACTCTCGTTTCCAGAGGCTGCGATCATTTTGGTCAACACCCAGAATCACTGGCCGGACCTGATTTTTTTGAGCTCGCGCAGAGTTACTCGTTTTCTCTTGTCTTTATTTTACCAGGCCAGAGGTCGCGCTTCCTGGCGCTGACCCAAAAGAATCGCGACCTCTCAGCCTAGTACCCAGGCGTTCCCTTCCTTCCTTCCCGCTTACTCGATTCCGCGCGAAATTTCATGACGTCACGGAGCCAGTTCCCAGGTCCTTACGAGTATTTCGCACTCGCTCGAGAGAGAAAGAGAACGTCTAGGGACTAGGGTGGTGGCCTCTGGGAACGGGAATGACACAAATCACCCAAAGGTTTTATTATTATTTTTTATATATTGTTATTTTATTTTAGAGCGGTTTTGTATAAATGACGAATGACTGTCGTCAAACTGAGGCCAATTGAATTAATTCTGAAACTGAGTCACTGCTGATCACTATGGCGGCTAACAGTGTTTTAAACCAATCAGAACTCAGACCAGCCTGGTTTACAGTCGGGGAACAAGTACCTAGTTGAGGGCGAAATCCCGCAACCGAAACGGGACTGAGCCCGGGGTGTTCGTCCCCAGTTGCTAAGCAACATGACGTATTTTGCTCGTGAGTGCTCACGCTAGTTTCTGATTGGATAAAAAGATTAGGAAACTCTTCCAAGTGTTTCCACGAAGATTGACAAAATTGGCACGTGTTCCCTCGACTGTTTATCAATGCTGAATTGGGGGGTTCACATGGGACTCTCTTACAACGACTGGGCGGAGGCGACACTGTATAAATAAATAGCATTACCATATTATTACAGCTTAAATGAGTCACAGTTTCACATTGTATTGTCTGAGTTTTAAACGTGGTATAACTAGTGTGACTATTGGCTTAAATTCCGTTAAGACCACGGTTTTAACGCTGTCTAAACTTTGTTTAAATAATCGGCCCTCAAGGTCGTTCCTATTGGGATTGACCGTTTTCGTGTTCTATTGGGAAAAAAACGTTGGTTTTGTTGATCAACTTTTTCAAGCTGCAACAATGTAGGTTGAAACTGTTGATTTGGTGTCCCAATAAAAACGCTTCTCCTATTTTGGTTGATACGGTTCACCAGCCGCAAACTGTTTTTCTCGATATAATAGAACACAGCTTAACCGTTATCAACCGTTTCAACTGAAAACAGTTAGAAACCAAAACCGGTTCCATTTGAAACGGTTGATCCTAACAGAACACGACGTAACCGGTTCCAAGCGCGGGAAAAAATGTAACTGGTTGTAAGCGCGGAAAATGTCATCAGTGCAAGCGCGGGAAAACGTAACCAGAGGCAGACGCGGCGAGGCGCGGGAAAAAGTCTGACCTGATTGGCCGAACAGACAATATCTGTGCTGTGATTGGTTAGAGAAGCACGTTGCACGAGTTTCTTAAGCCTATTACAAAGCTCATCAAAGGCATTTAACTATAATTTCTTTTGAAATTCACTGTATAGCTAGCGATTATATACGTATTGTCAATGTAGTTGAAACTCGCTGAATTTGCCCAGATTGTTAGATTGTATACACGGTTTTTGTCCCTTGTTTGTATATAGTAGTCTTGTATATCAAAATATAAATATGAGATGTATCTGAGTTGATACTTGTACTATCTCGTTGTTTAAACGCGGGGCGAACTATAAAAAGGAGGTTACCAAGGGAAGACAGACCTTATTTGTCAATCATCAGCGACAAGAGAAAAGCAACAGGTTCAGCTTTGAAAATCAAGAGTAAACTAATTCGATCCTGGTTAGCAGTTTTCGCGCGTTGTGGCATGGCGGAAGTATGAGATTGAACACCTCACATCGACATTGCGCGTATATACAGCTGTTTCGAGAAAGGTTGTCGGAAAAAAGCGCACGCGACAATCCCGAAAGGTATTGTGGGTAGTTTTTAAGTTCACGGTTCCTTGACTTCAGCATTTCAGGGAAATCTGAGAAAATGGAGAGACGCCATGGACGTATGTTTGCGAGTGCTAAAAGAAAGCAACAAAAGTAGGCATCGCGCGGTTTGATGTATTTATTTGACTTATTAAAATTCATTGATCATATCCCAGATTACCTTTCGCGTGCGCTTTTTTCCGACAACCTTTCTCGAAACAGCTGTATACGTATTTATTATACGACATAGCATTTTAGAGTGCGAATACACACCAAGACGAGCGCAAATATGAGACCGTATTACACGGGTCTTAGTCCCCCTGACTGCGCGCTACGGAAAACACTGTT